TCCTGCGTTGGTTCTTGTCTGACTTCTGCGCCGCTCAGCCGTGCCGCCGCGGGGGAGCCCAAACGGCAGCCTGCTCCCCTGCGGTGGCCTGGCTGAGCGGCGCAGAAGTCAGCCAAGCACCACCGCAGGAGGCGAAGGGAGGCGCGAAAAGGGGTGGGGCAGTGACATACATGACTGGGCCCCACCCTTAGCTGTGTATGTCATCGCCCCACCCTCCTTCCCCTCCCGTCATGGCGCTCAGCTTACTTCTGTGCCGCTCAGCCGGGCCACCACGGGGGAGCAAGTGGTGCAAGCAGCCGTTTGGGCTCTGTGCTCTCCGTGCATGAGGAGGAGAAGAGAAAGAGAGAGTGAGGGGCAAGAGGGGGAGGAGAAGAGGAGAAAGAGAGAGTGAGAGGCAGGAGGGGGAGAAGAGAAAGAGAGAGATGGAGAGAGAGGGTAGGAGGCAGTAGGAGGAGGAGAGAAAGAGAGACAGAACGAGAGACCGGAGGCCTCAGGAGAGAGGTATGAGATAGAAAGGGAATAGGACGTGGAGGAGAGACCTGTAAATCCCGCCTTATTGATACTAGACAGATCATTATGCATGAAAGTGTGTTAAGACCAAGGGGAGCTTTCCTAAAGATACTAACAAATTTAGCAGCACAAATCCCACAAGTCAGTGAGAACTTTTCTCTTAATCCTTTCACCTGAACTAATGCTCTCATATATAAAAGTCTGTATAGTATGTACAGAATAAGATCCCTGGAGTTTCTGAGAACTTGTGGTCCTAAATCTCTTAGCCCAAGAGTGGGCAAATACCAGCCCACAAGCTGGATTCAGTCTGCCAGGTTTAGTTAGGACATGTCTCCACTGCAATATTTACCTGCATGGCCGGAAGTACTGGTGATCACAGCTTTTGTTCGCTGCAGATTGCTGTTCCTGGACAATTGTAGGTGCAGGAAGCAGTGTCTCGGCCCTTGCTGCTTCCCATTGCTCCCATTGGCCAGGAATGGTGATCTTCATCCAATGGGAGCTGTGATCACTCGTAACAGCTGCTTCCCTCTGCTCCCATTGGCCAGGAATGGTGATCTTCATCCAATGGGAGCTGTGATCACTTGTAACAGCAGCTGTGAAGGTAAATATAGTTCTGGGGAATTGCCGCCATGTTATTGTCCATTCTGTCTTAGCCTCTTTTGAAAATCCGCCCCCTAAGGCATTGTCCATTACTTTAAATTTTCTAATAAGTAGCCTTGTGGCATCTTAGAGACAAACAAAATTATATAGCGTCATGAGCTTTTGTGGGTAAGGCCCACTTCATCAGATGGGTTGGAGTAGAAATAACAAAATCCAAGCTATATATAACAGCGAAAGAAATATCTGTCAATTGTAGGACCCATGTTAATGAGTCTAATTAAGTGGACTGGATGTGTCCCATTCATAACTTTTGCTGTGAAAATGCAGCTGTCCATGGCAGAGGAAATTGACTTAGTGGTGCATTAACCAGTTAATCTATTTTTTCAGGGCAGGGTAACAGTGTCAGATTTGAGGATGAATTCCAGTTCTACTGATGCACTGCACTAATTTCCACAGGTGTCTCAAAGATAGCTAGGAGTGCTGGTAGCATACCGTCTGAGGAGAGTCAACATAGCAGGATAATCTTGCTATAAAGGTGCCAATGCCTGAGATAATGGGTCGTCCAGGATTTCCAGGTTTATGAATCTTGGGTAGCAGGGTTGGGACTTGAGTCCTGGTTGGGGCTCTGGGGGTGTGTTTGTGTAGATTTGATACTGAGCTTTAGCAGGGAGTTTCTTGAGCAGATGGTGTAATTTCTTTTGGTATTCCTCAGGGAGATGAGAGGAAACAGGTAGAATGTGGTGTAGGTGAGTTGTCAGGTGAGTTCATAATCTGACATTCATTATGACTACAGCACCTCTCCTTTGTCAGCCTCTTTGATTATAATGTCAGAGTTGTTTTTGAGGCTGTGAATAGCGTTGCATTTTGCATGGCTGAGGTTATGTGTCACATGCTTTTGTTCACAATGTGAGCCTGTGCATGTTTGCAGAAGCAATCAGTGTAGAAGTCCAGACTGTCATTTTGACCATCAGGAGGCATCACAAAAAAATCATCTTATGGGGAAAGTAGGGGGGATCCTGTGGGTCAGTGCAATGTTCAGTGGTGTGTTGAAAATATTCCTTCAGTAGTAGGCGGCGAAAATAGGCTTTCAGGTAACCACAAAACTATATTGTGTGTGTGATGAGGCAGAGTCCCCGAGATAGGACAGACTCTTCTGCTGGACTAAGTGTGTGGTTGGATAGATTAACAATGTTGTTGGAGTTGAAGATACCGTAGTTTTAGAACACTTTCATATCGGAGTTTAGATAGTTTGTCTTTCTTCTGTAGGAAGTGAAGTGAGCTTTGTAGATGGATGTCTAGCCACATAGAAGTTTATGTGGAAGCTTGTTTTTTTTCTGAGATTCTCTAGTTTTGAGAACTCCTTCATTTTCTTCTGTTTGTTTTTATAGGATGGTGATTAGGTGATCTGAATTTTCTGATAGTTTAAAGCCAGGCTTTAAAGGTGTTTTGGGTGGTGGGGAGATTTGTGTGTAAAGCTACAGTAAAAATAGAATCACCACCACAAAAAAGGGTGTGTGTAGTATTTGTGGGAAATAAAACTTTATACAAACTACATTATATGAAAATGAATGTTAATGGAGATCTGCACACAAACTGCAACTGTAGTTCCAGATTGTATATTTTATCTTTTGTAGAAACCGTGCCTTGAAATGCTGAAAATTGTCTGCAGAGGAGCTGAACTTAGTTGAATACTGGAAAAGCTGCTGATTTATTTGTACCTTTCAACATGACCAGTCCCCAGTAAGTACTATATAAGTGTTACAAATGCTGTTTTGTTCAATTATTCAAATCTCATTTATGCAAAATCCTGTGCTAAATTCTCCTGATATCAAGGAGGTTTTATCAGTGTTGCTGGGAGGGGAATTTTAAGTTTTGGGTAAGACATGAAGGATTTTTTCAGCTGTCTGCAGAGCCTGAATTAGTGCAACAATAATAAAATGAATATGGTAAGTTTTTCTGAAGTGAATGACCAAGGACTAATGTATAAAATTATTTTAGGTCTGTTTACAATTTTTTCCTGCCCACAAACCTGTGTTAACACTATTTGTTAACATGCTTTTTCTTTGTCAGTTTATTATTAGGTCTCACTTAAGCTACTTAAGAGTCCAAGGCTAAAAAAAAAAGAAGTTGAAAGGGCTTCTCTAATTCTATTCACAGTTCAACAAAATCATAGTTAGATTGTGGTCCACCCCAAACTAGAAGACAGCATCTTCAGGAAGTATGTGAAACAAAAGCATTAAAACAGAGAAGGGAAAAGTCTGGCCAAATATCAGGAAAAAAATGTGCTAATTAGATTTTTTTTAGACAATGAAGTAATCTTCAATGGAAGTGGTAAAAGCCTCATTTCTTGGGACATGTAAAATTAGGTTGGACAAATAACTAAATAAAATATAATGGGAAAGGGACACTGGCTGCATGACTCAGGATCTTTTGCCCTATTTTCTATGATTCTTTGAAACAATCATAGGTCATTTTGAGCCTTTTATTTAGGTCCTAATAGTGTCTTCGCTTTGTTAAAGTGACCTTCTCAGTAGTTCTACTCCTTTATAATTCTAGTGCATGACTGCTTTTTCCCCACTTCTTCAACTTAGACTCTTATCTTTCCTCATCCAGGTCTTAATGTTCCTGGCTCTAAACTCTTACAAGACACACAATTTAGGCAACAACTCTTCTAAATTATTCAGGTTTTTTTTGTGGGATTTGGTTAAATTGCTAGAAGATTAATAGTGTCTCTTTTTTAAAAGCTATTAATTCAGAACTATTCTAAATGTTAACCAGAGGTGAATGAAGGGCAGTAGAATGCATGTATTAGCCTTAGAGCAAGTTTTTAAACTGTGAGGTAGGCTTCCCAAGGGACGCACAGGAATGTGTCAAGGGAGGCACGAAGTGTGTGCTACTTAAAAAAAGTAAAATTAACAAAAACATCTCTGGCTCTCAGCCTTGATAAAGCTCAGAAGTCCTGGAGCACCCCCACTTGAGTTCTCTTTCCTCTACTTCCTCAGTTCCTAACTATGAGGTAGCTCAGGCTTGGGTTCTCCTTCCCATGGACCCCTCAATCTTTCACTTGGAAACAGCGGGCTTCTGCTGTCAGTCCCAGGGTGGCAGCAGTGTAGGGGTAAGGGTAGTGATGGGATACTAAGTCTACTTTGGAAAGTGATACTGATGAATATTATTTTTCTCATTGCCACCCTTTTATGCTGCTGCCACTGATTGTTTGGCCAGTAGCTGCTGCTCTCCACTCTGCCTTCAGAACTGAGTATTGGTGTATATATACTTGGGCAGGGGGTGTAAATAACTAGAGATACCAAGAAGGGGCACCTGATCAAATATATTTGAGAATCTCTGTCTCAAAGTGATTTGTATGCTGGTCAGTCAAACACTTGATCATTCTTCACTGATCTCACTACAAAAAGGAAGGGGTTTAATTTATGTATTGTGATAAAGCTCGTATGAAAACACGGTGGGCTTTGCTTCCTGGCAGATTTTGCTGGCAGGTAAGATATGCTGCCCTTGCTTCCTCGGGAAGTCCTTGGAGAGAAGCGGGCAGCTACCCCCTGCCAGGAGCTCCTCCTCCTCTGAGCTCCCCCTCCCCCCAACCACCTGTTCTGACTCCTGCACCCCCACCTCTTGCCCTGAGCCCCACCTCACCCTTTGCTCTGACTCGCATCCTCTGCTCCTTACCCTGAGCTTCTCCTCACAATTCAATCCTGAATACTACTCCCCCACACATACTCCCAGTCCTCTATCCTGAGCCTCTCCTCACGCTCCAACCCTGACTACCACACCTCCCCTCATTCCCAGCCCCCTGCCCTGAAGGACCCTGAGCCTCCCACATCATCAGTCCCCTATCCTGACTCCTGTAGCCCCCTGCACTGCCAGCTCACTGTCATGAAGAAACCTAGCAATGCCAGGTAAGTTTGTTGACTATTTACAGGCAGTCCCCAGGTTACGTACAAGATAGGGACTGTAGGTTTGTTCTTAAGTTGAATCTGTATGTAAGTCGGAACTGGTGTCCAGATTCAGCCGCTGC